AAAAACAAATCCTGATACCACGTGTGTTCTTTGCTGTGCATGGCTTTGAAGGTCATCAAGCTGTATATAGAAGAGGTGGTGAAGAGATCCAAAGACACAGGAGCGCGGCTGGCACGGAAAAAAACGAAAAAGGTGTGGGGGAAGAAGTCCTTGCTTCCTGTTATTGATGTTTCTAGCAATTGAGTGTGAAAAGGTATACCTAATGAAGTCAAAAAATGTAAAGCTTTGATACATGGGTATTATATGCATCTGTTCCTACAAGTGTAGGAATTGTATCAATTTGCGGAATCTCTATTGGTTATTTGGCCTGGGTTGCAGATATGCGGACAATACCTACAATGCAACAAAAAAGTGTGCATATGCAGATATGGAGTGCACTTCTTTTTTTTTTTTCCAGAGGGCGACGGCCTTGAGATATCGTCATTACATATGCAGATATGGAGTGCACCTTCTTTTTTTTTTTTTTTTTTTTTTTTTTTGCTGAAGGGTGACGACCTTGAGATATCGTCATGGAGCTGACCAGCCCCAGACAATTCAGAAATATTTGGTTGTACTGATCAAGCTCAGTCATCTGGATTCGAACTCGGGTCTGTATTCCAACAGTTCATGGGTGTACCCACCGAGCTAGGCTCTTGGGTGAGGTCTACATTGTATTTTAAGCATGGCCTCGGCACACTGTCGGTATGAAGTCGGAAAGAAGCCATCAGGTTGGAAAGCAACACCTGTACTCTACGAGTGTATTTAATTGGTTCTGATGTGGAAAAGCATATCAAGGACTTGAAGCATTTCATGATTGTAGAAGAGGAAAGACATAACTCAGACAGAAATGTACACTTGTGTCACATCATAATTCCTTTTATACTTTACCATTTGACACACCATCACTCATCTGGTGATCAGCAGCCTGTTTCTTGGTCTGCCCTGTCTCTCTCTGTCCATGTTATGTTCCTTCTTTCCCCTTAGGGCAATATCTACTTCTTCATCCCCTTTAGACATCCCAGCTTGTGTCACACAAATCCTCTACAGCATTGGAGATTCACGAGTAACCTGCAGAGCAGGGTGCAGTGCCCATTCAGGATGCAGTGCTGATGTCCGGGGACTGTGGCCGTCGGTGTTGTGGTACTGGTTGCGGTTTCATGCTTGTATCTGTTTGAACCATGAAGATGTAGTCTTTGCAATTGAGTTGGGGGCACCAGACGACGTGAATTTTGATTCGACGGTCTCCGGGTTTTGCATTCTTTTCATTCTTGTGTGTGTACTTTTTCCCCCCTGTTTTGGTGTAGATCCAATTTCAGCGGCCAGGAAGCTGTCTTGGCCCAAGAAGCATTCTGGCGACAGAAACAGGAAACAGCCTGGAACAAAAGGCAACAGCACCGAAGAAAAGAAAACAGTCTAAGAAAAGAGGGATATGGGTTTGTATTCCAGCTGGCTTGAAATGTCACACGCACGCATACACGCACACACACACAGGCGCACACGCACACACGTGGGCAGCCTTGTGTGTAAGAGACACAGTAAAATGGGAGCTCCAAGAACAATGAAAGGGGTACCCCAAGGACAACCAAAAAACTGTCTAATTATAAAATTGCTTTTATATGTTGGACATATCAAATGCTCTTGTTGTCTGCAATAGGACAAAGACTGCTTTGATTCTGAATCTATTCACCTGGGTGGAATTGGGGCTGTTGTTGGGAAAATCTAAAACACACACACATATACACACAGACGGAAAATTGTCTAATTGTAAAATTGTTTTTAAATGTTGGGCTGTCTCATCTTAAGTGCTCTCGTTGTCTGCAATAGAACAAAAATGCGTTTATTCTGGATCTATTCATCTGGGTGGAATTGAGGCTGTTGTGGGGAATATTTATAACACGCACACGCACACAGGCACACACACATCCTGGCAATGCGGCGACGACTGGATGAATCGTTATGGATGCCTCTTCGGCGGAGACGTTCCCCGTCTCTGCCACTGCCTCCAAGATGTCGGCCTCGTCTGTCCTGGAACAGCATGAATACCGCACCCCGTGCAGGGGTTAGAGATCTGCTCCGATGACATGCCCGCAATGGTACAGAACGACACCGTTGCTCTCGATATACACTAAGCCAGTAGTACATTTCGAGTCCGATGCCCACAATGTGGTGATGATTTCTTCAGTGCTGCAGGCCTGCACCAGACACGAGGTGCAGCCACCTGTGCAGCATTTTCATGACTATCAGCCGCTTTGAGCACAAGTGCGACTGATCAACCTCTGCTTCCTGCGTATTCCTCATCCACTTGACCCTGCATGCTCTCCTGGTCAAATGATATGAACCACCTTCTGATCACCTGATGGAGCCTCCGACTTGAGAAAATCTCTCTCCGCAGCGCATACTACAGCTGGAGGAACCTGTGACAGAAATGGTAAAGACTGCAATGAATATCCGCCTGCCATGCAATCTGGAGAAATGGATGAACCTCCCCCTGCCGCACAACCTGCAGAATTGGATGATATCATAGTGCTACAACGAGGTCGCTGTGCGTACTATGCCAATGTGCATACTGCTTCTGATTTTGCAGACGTTGTCCACTGGATAGAATAAGAGCACCGTGCCGTCTGGCCAGAGGACGACAGTAGTGCACCTGGCATGAACTGTCTATGACATTTATGGGTAGGCGACAACAACTCCAGCCTGCTCCGCAAAATCATGTGGCAGGCATGGATTCCAATATTTGGGCATACATTTTACATCGTCCAGGTCATTTCAGTGCTCTTACCTTTGCAGAAAACTCATGGACCCTATGGGACAATCGCGGTAGGTTTCATGCAGCGGGAAATATTAACTCTTTTCTATCACGAAGTGGCACAACATCACTCGGTCTGGCCATCCATCAGGAATAGTATGGTGATGAGCACTCGCAAGCACTACTGCCTCTGGAGAGCAATCCGACTCAACCTCCTTCCCCCTGTGCATGGTCAGGCAGCATCCCCTTCCTGTGTGGATCAGACGGATTCTACCACGAACAGTAAGGGGACCTCTCCAGGGGATGGAGATTATGGCCTCCTCCCATTGCGTCGTCGCACAGGTACACTCTAGTTAGCATGTGCACGGCATGGCCTCTTATCCGAACACTATGAAGGGATGGTCGATTCAAGCCTCTGACACGAAAACTGCGATCCTTTGTCTTGTGCTCACCCCCGCCACCCCTTGATTACTTGCCCAGCATGCCGTTGTGGCCTTGATATGTCATGCTTGAATAATTGCACACGTGCCTTCTTTGCTGATAACATGTCAGCAACATGTCATGTGTCGTCAATGTTTCCAGGAAGCTGTCATAGAAAGTATGTGTCTCTACTGCGTGAACTAGCCCCAGTGCCATCATCTGCCACATCATCTCCTAGCGTGTCGCACATGCGGTATTGGTCATACACCTACTGCAACCACAGTCGGAATTCCTTCTTCCTTGCCCCACGAATGATGGGCACAGCAGCCTGAGGAGAAAAATAGATTACCATATGAACCTACAAATCCCTGTTGCAGACCAAATCCTTCAGCAGTAGAATGCCCTTGCTTTGGATCAATCTTCCCCGTCGTCGTCAACTCACAGAGATGGAATAAATACCGAGGAAACCCAAGAAACTTGCTCCACGCTGCTCTGTGATGACCCACCTGAGATTCAGCTAGGATGTGGTTCGCATGCCTTATGCCGTGGGGATTATGAAGGGAGCCCGGGCAAGCTTTTGTCTTCATAAGTTCATACGTATGATGACAGTCTCTATTGCACTCATGTACGACACCCTGGCATGTCATATCCAGACTCTCTGTGATGACCCACCTGAGATTCAGCTAGCATGTGGTTCGCATGCCTTATGCCGTGGGGATTATGAAAGGATAGCCTGGGCGAGCTTTTGATGACAGTCTATACTGCACTCATGTACGACACCCTGGCATGTCATATCCAGTTTGTAGACGGGCTGGAACGGCAATGCCTCTATAATTGCGGTCGACGTGCCTGTGTTCCTAGCATGTAGGAGCCATGTAACCTGTAACATCTGTCTACTCCATGCCAATCGATGCAGTAACTGTGACTGTGAGAATTGGATGCGGTGCTTCCACAGGCCACACCCAAACCGGTTCTGCCCTCGCGTGCCATTCTAGAGTGGTCTGCCGCAGCGGTCACTATTTAGAACCCTGTCAGAACCACCTCCCATTTCCTTCCTCCTTGTGTATTACTAATTTACTAGTAACGCATACGAATGAGCATCATTAACGAGAACAGAAAATATAAGTTGAAGATCTGAGAAGAAATGAACAGGAATATACCTCCGGCTTTGCTCTGCCTCCTTTCATCGTGTGCAAGTGGGCCGTTATTCCACACGGGGATGTGGGCAGCTCGAGCTCAACCACAATCAACGTGGCGAGCCTTGTGCATGAGAGGCACAGTAAAGGGGGAGCTGCAAAACAAATGAAAGGGGTACCCTGAAGAAAGCAAATGTGAACACATTCAAGAAAGGGGTTTACATGCAGCTATTGTACTTCATGTTGCTTGCTATTGAGGTGAAACTGTTTCATTGTTGGGTTGTCTGAACTGAAGGGCTTTCCTTGTCTGTAATATGATTAAATTAGTTTAAATATGCTTTGAATTTGGATCTGTTCATCTGGGTGGAATAGGGGCTGTTGTGGGGAATATTCAAAACACACATACACACGCACACGCGCACASRCACACACACACACACACACACACACACACACACACACACACAGAGAGAGAGAGAGAGAGAGAGAGAGATGACAAGGACAGATGTGCGTTGGTGCAGGAGAGAAGAACAAGAAATTTGTATAGCAAGATCGAAGATGGTTCTGCCACGGGTGCTCGCAGTGGAGATAAAGTTGAGAAGGATGTATGGAGAGAAAGGGAAGCTGACAAGGCTGGGCAGGGTAAGGATTCCTCGGAAAAGGAGGCGAAGAGGGACAAGGAGATGCATAAGGCCACTGCAACTGTGGGCAAAAAGGTGAGCATCCATAATTTTGAACCTCTCTTTAGGGGTCTCCCATGCCGTCGTAATTTCTTTCTGAAGTGTCCAGTCGGGCGTCATTGATCTGGGTGAAGTGCAACACGTCTAGTTTTTGCCACCCAATGCATGCCATGCGGAGGTAATTCTTACTGTCTCATTATGCACATCAGATTGCATAACATAGTTCGGTGGAGCTTGCTGCTACAGTTAGATTTTGAATTTCTGGGGATAGTCTTTTCCTCCTCACTTTCTGCGGTAGCCTGCATAATGATGCAGAGGTTCGGCTCCACAATGCTATGCATGTCTTATCGGAGTACTCGCTGGTTATGATGGAAATGAGGAATGTGGCAGCTGTATTTGGGTTATCTTTCAGTCTTAAACCACCAGTACTTGGGCACTGCGCGCCGCGCCGGCCGCCCAAATCTCGAAGCAGCGCGGGCTGTCGATTCGATTTATCAACGGCCCGCCGGCCGCGGAAATCGTGTAGCGTTAACGCTAAGGCGTCGTCCAAGTACTGGTGGTTTAAGGACAGCAATAAGGACGGTATGTTGTATTCGGCCGAAGAAGGTGGCTGGGTAAACTTCGTTCATGCCACCTGTAGTAGTGCAGTTATAGACCATCTGGGCCTAGTACTGGAATAGGTCAGTGGATGTTGAATGATCCATGACCCTGGTTTGATGTTCTGTGCATCTGGGCATGAATGCCATACCTGAACTCACGTCGGGCCACCCGACCGTGTGGGACCTGGTCTGGGTTGCAGGCAGCCTTCTAGGAAGAAAAAATTTGCGACAATTACAGTGTAGAATCGAAATGCTTTTGGTTGAGGGTCAAAGAATTCAAACTAGGCCACCCCCTTTTAAAACCCCTTAAACACGTGGGCATGAATGTCATGTCAGAGCTCACGTCAGGCCGCCTGATTGTGCGGGATCTGGGCTGGGTCGCAGGCAGCCCCAGTGTGAAATGAAATAGCTTTTGAAAATTCTGGGAAGAAAAAGATTGCGACAGTATGTAGAATTGAAATGCCAACATATTTTGGCTGAGGGTAAAAAAATTCAAACTAGGCAACCTCCTTTTAAACCCATTTAAGCCTCATGTATACCCTTTTTACCCCCCTCTCCCCCCTATTCTACCCGGATCTAGAGCGCTGGAAAACAAAAAGTGCCCAGATTTTGTCTGCTTTGGTGGGTGCAGAAAAACACCACCGACAACAACAAAAAAAGTTCCTGGGTGCTGTGATTAACCCAGCTTTGAACCATTCAAGTTACCAATGTTTGTTTTGGTGAGTGCGCTGCGAGTAACCCAGCTGTGAACCCAAGTTACAAATAGCTATCGGCGTGTGAAAGGCATTCCACGATGCAGACCCCAAGGCCAAGTCGGTCAGTTTCAGAAAGGTCACAGTCGGGTACCTTAGGAGTCAAGTCCGACAGGCACCCGGTGAACAATCACATCCCAGAGGCAAAGTTTGCATTCTATAAGCAAAAATTACGTTCCATATTGAAAAGTCATATCCCACAGGCAAAGGACACTTTCCCATGCAAAAGTTGTCCCAGTGGCAAGAGTCACATCCCACAGTCAAAAGTCATTTTCCACAGACAAAAAGTGGCGACTCACTAGTCCCAAGCAGCAGCACACCAATGAAATTCGGGAAAGTACCAGGCCTTGACATTCTGAAGCAAACAACCCGAGGGCATGTGGTACCAGGTCCAAGTCAAGCCAAGGAAGCAGAGGCTGGAACGAGTTGAGGCTCAGTCCAGTCAATATAAGGACTGGAGAGCCACATTTGAAGGCAGATGCTCATTCGTGAGAAGTGCGGAAGTGCTGCTGAATTGCTTGTGCGCTATCTGCGAGAGGCATGCACGAGAGTCCTGCTGGGAAGCACTGTGTTGAGGGCGAAGGCGGCCATAGCCTTATAGCTAGTAGTAGTTGTGGCTGGTTAGTTGCGAATGTATTGTCAAGATTCACAAGGGGGGAGAGAGAGAGAGAGAGAGAGAGAGAGAGAGAGAGAGTGCATGCATGAAGAAGACCAGGAGGGACAGAGAGAGAGAGTGTGCTAGGGAGAGAAGAGAGCCTCCTACCTTGATGAGGAGAACCCAGCTCTGTTGGGCGCTTGGTGACTGGATCTCCGACACCGTTTAATGTGATAATTTGTTGGAGTTTCTAAGCTGCACATATCTGGACTTCGCATCTCTGGACTCCAGTGTGGATTTCGTGTGATCTCTCAATGTGTGTGTGTGTGTTTGCTCAATGTGTCGAGCAGTGTGGCTCAATGCATGTGGGTGCTGCGATTAACCCACCTGTTGGCGTGGGTGCTGTGATTAACCCAGCTGTCGCAGTGGTGCTGCGATTAACCCAGCTGTCGGGTGTGGGTGATGCGATTAACCCAGCTGTTGCGGTGGGTGCTGCGATTAACCCAGCTGTCGGGCTGGGTGCTGCGATTAACCAAAGCTATGAACCGTTCAAGCTACCAATAGCTGTGTGTTATTGTGCAGGGCTGCGTTGTTTCCCTCTGACTACTATCTTCTCCCGAATGCAGTGCACCACTGCACGCTGATTATGACTGTATATGCGGTATTTTTCCTGTCTGATAGAGTTATGGTAAGGGTTCATTGTGTTCGGGAGAAATGGTGGGTGGCATAGAGTAGCTTCGGTGTGTTGTGAGCCTTTACAGGATGTCAAACATGGATGGAACAGTGCTGAGGAGCTGCCATTGCATACCTTTCCGCTGTCTTGGATGGTGTAAGGAACTGTCAAACACGGACTGAGACACACAGCTGATTTCTGAGTTTTGCCAATGGAATGTATGCCTTGCTGTGTTTCCCGCTTGTTGCTGAGTTTTCTAAGTCTGTGTGTGTGCATGCTTACTGGTCTGTGTGCCTGTCTGAGTGTGTGTGTGACCTGCAAGGGTACTCGTCCCTGCGGGAGGCCCGAAGGGCTGGTACTTACCTGTGGCCGTGACATTGAGGGTTGCAGCGGGGAAAACACTCTGCGGGGAAAGAGGCCGTGACACTTAGAGCAGCTAAAACACACTCAGGTAGCAGGTAGGCCTGTACCACACAAAGTAGAGGTAGATATGCCAGGTACTCGATGCTGAGCAGAAGAAGACGAAGTTGTTATTTTTAGAGGCCAGTAGTTGTATGGTCTAGGCGGGTACCAGTCCAAGTAGTCTGGCAATATCAGAGTCTGCAATGATATTTGCGAGGCTACGCCCGCTTAGCCCCTACGGGCCTTATTTGCAGCAAGGTCGGCCGCCCTAAGTGAAGGCAGGCACGACAGGCCCTCAGGGCCTCGTTTTCAGGGTACCCCGCAAATGGGGAAATTCAGGCAGTTACACAGCATCAGTTGGTTGAATGAACTCACGCCCTGGGCCGCCTGTGTGAATGAATGTAAAGCAGGCCCTGGGCTGGGTACGGGTACCGGGCCAAGCACAGGCCGAAAGCAGTTGGGTGTATGCAACTACCTCAGGCCCACTGCCTGCATTCTTCGTGACTGGGCCTCAGGCTACCGGGGCCTACTGGAAGCTTCCTGGACTGGACGCAGGCAGGCCACTTCGATATAGGGAAGGGCCTGCCTCCTCATTCGACATTCGGGTGCTGGCTGCATGCTGCGACAGCACTGCTGCGCTATTTGCTGGCTGGCGCCCTCGCACTCACGGGCGAGTGAGGAAGAAGCAGGCAGCCATATCCACGCTGCCTGCTGTTTGCTAGGTGGGGCGCTGGGTGGTCCTTGGGTGCTAGAGGCATCTGTGTGGTAAGGATCGGGGTTGAGAGCAAAGTGGGAGACATACCTGGTGCTTGAGACGAGCGGCATTGGCCGCATATGCTCGTACTTCGGTGAAGCTGTTGACGTCAACTTCGGCATTGTAGTAGTAGGCTAGATAGGACCTGCCATCTTGTGGTCTGGGCGCCGAGCGCCAGTAGGATATCAACTCTTGTTCTTTGTTGATGATGATGGGAGACAACTTCAGCATTGTCAATCACGAACTATTGCTGTGTTCTTATTGGGTGAAACTCGTGATGCCATTCTGCTTATGGTTCGAGGTCATGGCTACCTGGTAACTTATGTATGATGCTGTTTGCGTTCTGGAGTTCGCTATTGCTCATCTTCCTTGCATATTTCCGTCCGAATGGGAGGAGGTACTGGTTGCTTGAAGTCACTACCCAAGAGGCAAGCACGCCGCTTTATCTCCTGGTGGAGCAAAGAGCTCCTCTTCATTCTACGGTGTACATCTTCTTCTTTCTTTCTTCTTCTTTCTTCTTCTTCTTCTTCTTCTTCTTCTTCTTCTTCTTCTTCTTTCGTCCCTCTCTCTACTCTCAAGTTCACTCACTTCTTGTTGTAATTGGACGGCATTGTGCTTTCTCATGAATTTGTACTTCGAAATTGGCCAGGATCGAAACAATGGTGTCCTCTGACAGTTTTCTTGCATTATAGTCTCTTTACTTGTATTTCACACACGGACTCTTCTCTGTTTCTGGCACATCTCCTCATCGCTGGCACGTGTACTTGTGCCACTTGGTTACTTGATGTCTCTGTTTTGGCCTGTCAGACTAGTTTCTTTTCTTTTATTTTACTTTTTCGTCCCCAAAGGGCAACGGCCTTGAGATATGATCATCACTGAGATTCGATCCCTAGACCTATGCCTGAACCCTGTACATTGACCCTGTGTGCTGAGTGAGATTCGATCCCTAGACCTATGCCTGTCTGTGCCCTGTACATCTGCCCGGTGACTGTGTGAGATTTGAACCCGCGACCTGTCCTGTGTCATAGGTTAGGCCGTAGGTCGGGAAGTTGGACTTGATCTCTAGGTCTGTAGGTTAGTAGTCGAGTCTGTTACCCGTCGTCCTAGGAAGGTCTGTTCTAGAAGTCTCTACTTGAGTCTATTGAGGGCCTAGAGTCAGTCTGTAGGTCTGTAGGCTCTAGAAGGCTGTAGGTCCCAGTAGGCTGGTCCGGTCAGCAAGTATCAGGTAAGGGCTGCACGTGAGGGAAGGTTCTGGTCACGC